ACAAGAAGAGTTCCTGGCTAGGCACTTTGTCAGCGTGAGATCTGTTATCGTTCATATAGTATACAGCATTTTGATCCCGTACGAAAAAGGCAAGCCACCACCCAAACGTTGATGTGACGGCTGTTATTAGAAACGAGCTGCATATTCTGGATGCCATATACAAATCTACAGATGGTTCATAGTTTGAGACGACTACTGCCTGAAGTTGCAGAAGCTTAAAATGTTGTCCGAAAACATTGCGTATGCGTATCTACTGTTGATTTACTCACATTTTTACTCCATTTTCCATATTTCACGATAGCATGCGACAAGTCAATCATGAAGGTTTGATCATCACCAAAAATTACAAAGTGTGATATTCTCTTGAGCGAGAAAGAGAACGAACATTAATGAACTTGCTGGCGATGAAACCTATATGATTTACCTTCTTCCTAGCAATTCTATTAGCAGCAATTACAGTAGACATGAAATCAGTGGATATATTCCTTATAATAAAGTCGGTCATTCGCACATGGATGCACATCGAATCAGAATGCTCACTGAAAAAATAGATAAAAGGATTAAAGCTAAGAAAGATTTGACCGTAAGTTTTAGAAATTTACCTTTCTAAAGCACGAATTACTTCACTTCCATTCTGTTCTACTTCCTCTGAGAATTGTAAAATATCACGTACATCCGTAATATAATCCTCAAAATATCTCGGGTTTTGTCCAAAAGTGAAATCTAACAGCAAGTACTCGTCGGTGAAGTCAGCCAACCTAAAATGTACAGTATAACGACATAGAAGTCGTACTCATCTTTTGACAATCCGTTTCGAAAAAAAAAATATTTTACATTATAGAATGAACAAAGTGCAAACCTTAAAGGGTCATAATAGGAGCAGCAAGTTGTGGCAAAGCTCACCACCCTCTCTTTGGTTCCGTTCTAAAATTGATCCTCACTTCAGTAATATTATTAAAAATGACGAGCTTACAAAACTCTTGGTTGGCTGGAAAGTCTTTGGAAATTTGTTTAAGTTAATAAAATTAGGTAAAAATTTATTGTTGCTTATATTGAAGATTGGAAATCATTTGCATCTACCGTTAATTGACTACCTTTTGCCATGAGCAGGCAACTTGCCCTGTTTTGGATATCGTCCTTTTGAAATATAGGATGGAGCAAACCATTATGATTTCTGACTTGGGCACTGGTCACTGTATTCTTTTCCTCTAACCATATTTGATAAAATAATGGAAAAAAA